ATTTCTGAATAATTTTGAACCCACTATACTGCTACACTTGGACTTAGGGTTTCCAAACTACAAGCCGTATATTTCCCGCGTTCGCAAAACAGCATATTTCCTTACGGAGAAGAGCGGATATTTTGGGGTTCATAAAAATTAGTAGTGGATTTCATTCATACTGTTAACTCTAAAGCCCCGTTTTGAAAATACAGAGACATGACGATTTATATAAAGCCATCTCACGGTATTCAAAAGTCCAGTCATTAGACACGTTTTACAAACTGAATTACATTCCTCCCTCGCGTAAAAAAAATAAGACGAAGTCGTTATTTTCAACCGAATGGGGAGAAAAATAAACGTTTTTATGCAGGATTTCCATGAAATATACTATACACTTGGGGACAGCGAAAATCAGTGGGACAAAATCAGGTGTCATTTTTACTGAGTGTTGTTTTCAGCGTCCAGACGATTAAAGCTTTACTCGATCACCGGCATCCAGTGATAACTGAAATAATATAGAATTATGTTGCAGGCTGACTAGTTTTTCAACCATACGTAATTACTCTTTCCGAAACGAAACACATATCGGAATTTCCGTCGACATTCATGAGTTAGCCCGCCTACTGTATTTGCGGGATGATACGACATTTTGCTTTTTGATAATTCGCATAACCTAGCCAGCGTGAAGACAACAAGCCTTTTTGACATTATTCGCTTCATGACAGCATGTTCTTGTCACCTAGGTAATCTGCACACCTACATCGCTAATAGGGAATGCAGTAATAAAATTGGTGCTTTAGGTAAAATTGTGATTTCTCGTCGAAGTTGACAAACTTTCCTGCAGCAGGTGGTCTACACGTTAACATCGGCAGCACTCTGGAATCTATGGTGGGTCTTAGATTTCCGTTTTGTTCTTTTTTCCGCTCGTTTGCCTGTGGCGGTCAAGGATGTGAGATCAACGTTAACCAGGCACACTAAGTTCGTTTCATCTTATGTCATAAATTGAAGAGCTGTAAGGAGTGGTTCATTCTATACACAGGACAGGTTGCAGTTAGTTGGCGGTAACCTTGTGACAGAGATAAGCGTCAGTTCACGTAGAGTGTAAGTCGCGGTGTGCTGTTTGCGCGGAAGTGGGTGTCTAGGTCAGCAGGAGAGGGTAAATGGGTGAGTTTTGGTTGTATGATTGGATATATTACGGGAGGAATAGGGAGCGCATGTTCAAAAGGCTTCTGGGCTATAGCCACAGCGGTCGACGCGCGTGATGTGATGAACGTTTGTGAGGTCAGTCGAGAGTGACTGCAGTTCGATCGGCGTTAGTCGGCGGGGGGTTGCCGTGTGTCGACAGCTGTCTCAGTTATCTTTCGATCAAACGGAGCCGGAAAAAAAGGGCGAGCTAGAACGGCAGCAATAGGCCTGTTCATACTGAGTAGAATAGCGTTTTTGACCTTCCACCTACTTAAAAACGTCGACCTTGTTGGTTCCAACAATAATAACTCATGCGTATCAGCAAAGCTGATCAGCTTGTGATTCGCGGCGTTAGGTCTCCTAGCGTTTCATGTATTATTACGGAATAAAGTATCATGCTTAAGATAACTCACGAATGGGAGGAGGCATTTGACTCCCAAAGCCGATCAACGGACTCGAAGAAGGAGACACGATCGCTGGGACAATAGCTTTAGTTGCCTGACGTTTAGGATTCCTGCTCGAATCCATCCGAATCCGAAACGTCAGGCCAACAAAACTCTTGTCCCAGCGATTGTGTCTCCTTCTTCAAAACGACTTCCTGGTACTCGTCTCTTCGCTTATATTGGCGATCAATGGACTGTTTTACGTATGCAATGGTACTGTAACGCGTGTGGATAAGAGGAACATTGTACGGAGGTGCACTGATATTAAGAGATAGTAATGAATAAAATAACAGAGCGCAGAATTTACGTATTGGGAAATATTTTAACAGGCATGTAAGTAGCTGAGTAACGGTAGGTTGATAGTTACAACAAAGATCATGAAATGAATATTAAAATATGCCTACGTGAGGAATGGGCCTTCTCACAGAACTCAAATTAATGCCTTGCATCCGCAGTTGATGTGACTCATAATCCTGTGCATTTTTCTACGGTGTGGATTTAAACAGGTGTGGAGGGAATAAAGTATCGACAAAAACGAATTTCGCAAAAAATTACCGACCGCAGCTCATCACTTCATACCAAAGACGACACATAATCAACATGCGGCAATGAACATTTTCATAGAATCTCAAATTAAAACAACATTACCATAGCTTAATAACCGCCGACTTATCAGTAAATGCGGTAATCCCATGTGTGATAGAAGAATGAATGAAATCAACACGCAAAAGCATGCTTAAACATAAAAAGAACGCAGGATTAACAAGGTAAGTTGAGTTTCTCCACGCGGTACAGCTGCTTATATAGGCCACCTTCTTGTTTCACAAAACTTTTAGATAGCTGTCATTTTGCAGATCCCTAAACACAATTCCGATTTCTTTTTCGGGCTCGAAAAACTCGCCCTTGGTATTGCTCGTGTGCAGATCAGGTATGACGAGAGAATGCGCGCCGATACAAGTAGGAAGACTGCGCCATCGAACTTAATTTGCTATGTTAAGCTATAGTTCTTTCTTTTCTGACACTTTCTTTGATTGTTAAATTTACTCGTCCAGTCTTATGTAGCATTTGTATGTTACTATTTTCATTAATTTGTGAGCATTGAACAGCACCATATTGTTTTGTTATGTTTTTTTGTGCAAATTGAAGTTGCTGTATGTTTTTTATTCGTTTTTTTTGTAAAACATCGATGGATTGCATTTAATAGACTGTCGCTGGGTGTGTTTTACAAATCACATTCAGGCAGGCATGCATGCGTTTTCAGCTCATAGAATACTGCCATGTGTGTTTGTAAGTTTGCATTTTTATTTGGCCTTATAAACATATACTTGTAATAGATCGAGGTTCTCACACATGTTCATAAGGACAAATTTGAAGACCGTGACAATTCCTTCCCCTCTTGGAGTGGAATTTCAACCACCGCAAACGACTATGTTCACTCTGTGCTCTGTAGCATGATTTTTGCATAACAGTGACTCGTGCGTGTGTACGCCAGTGATGACAGTTGATTGCAGAGTAGCCTGCTGCAATCTTTTCT